CTCACCGCTCTGGAACTTGATCGCCGTCAGTGTGATCCTCTTCCACTACGGAACTGGTGTCCTCTGCCTGGAAAGTGAACGTCGTTGGTGTCCTTTGACTGGTTTCGGGACGGGAGTGGTTGAAATACCTGAATGGACGATGATGGTATCCTTCGAAATTGCGCTTCATTTTCTTTTCCTCGAAGTATCTGCGCACACGTTCAGCTCTTGCTGACCTCATCGTTCTCAACTAACGCGGGAGTCGCACTTCTGATTTTATGTATTCCATCATGGCCTTGAGGTACTCGGACATCGTTTCTGTCAAGTATGCTTCGAAGCTGCGTCTCCTCGGGTGTGCTGCAGGACCGTGCGATGGCTCGCTGCCGCTTTCAAGCAACGAAATCATGCTTGTGATGTTACGTGACATTAGGGCAGCCGACTTCTTCGCGAGATCCACGGCCTGATTCAACTCGAATCGAATCTGGGTGTAAGCCGCATCTCCACGTGGTGGCGTCGGGACGATAACTCTGGTTCCATTGCGGGCCGCGGCGGCTTGGCGGAGTGACATCCAGCGTTGGGCCCACTACATACAAGTATTATCCGACATGGTTTCCAAGGCTCTGCTGACTTCGTAGAACTCGAAGTATACTTTCCTTTCAACGTTGTGTTGCGGCTTGAACGCTGTGTTCACCCGCCTGAATCCATCCTGTAGCAGCAACATCGTCGAATGCTGTCGTTGCGCCTTTGCGACGACTTCCGTCCATGAGTTGATCTTCGCGAATTTTACGCCTTCGTTGTTCAGGTCATTAAGTTGATCTATTGGAAAGCCCGTACCGCCATCGTGGGGTAAACTTAAAAGGGACCCGTCATGTAATGCCAAACTACGGAACACATGATCACAACAATGCTTAAAGAATGTGAATGCTTTTTGAGATCCTGTGACAGTTATAAATGGAAACTTCGAATCAGTCATCAAATAGCGTCTACGATCATCGCTACGTTCACTCTCATAAATTGAAATTAGACGGGCTAAACTAAAAATCGTATCAAATCGGATCTCGCCAATGGTTTCTGCTGCTTTTGGAATCACATCTTTGAATCGTTTTTCTCGAATCGAGCAGTTAAAACTGCTAGGAGCACCATCTCGACTATGAAATCTGCCAGGGCACTTGAAAAAGAACCCGAGTGGTTCATTGTTACCATCGCCATCGAGAGTGGCCCTGCAAGATGTTTGTTTTATGACTTTAAGCCTACGTTTGCTTCTTTTTGTTTTTGTTTCCAATGGTATGTTACGTATCTCTGGAGGCAAAACTATGAGTGACTCGAAAGGAACTCTGATTGGTTCTTCTTTCTCGTTAATGTGTGACAAAAGAGCAGAGTTTTCGCTGGTATCTACCACCCGATAGGGACCACCCCAAAGTTCACACAGTTTTGGGAAAGCCCTAATACACTTTTCTCGTGTTAGCTTCAGGAAAACTCTGTCTCCTACTCTTG